CTCTAGTTGTGGAAAAAATACTATGCCACATTCTCTCCATAAGGTTTGAATAATGCCACTTGCAGCTGAACCAGTGTTAGGATGTTTCAGCCTTTCATTTTTAATTGGAACAAAACTGTGGGCACATGTATCCCATCTAACAAGCATGGTGCAAACAACATCCAACAGAGCTCTTAACTGTGTAGTGCAGCATCAACCCAGATACTACTTTGAACTCCAGGAAGCAGCATGGTCAGGTTAGACTGGTAAAACTAATCAAAAACTAATCAATCTAGAGAGCTAATCAGCTCAGACTGGGTACATTTGGCCTTTTAATTTCCTATTCTCTAATTAGTTAAATTTCAGCAAGTTTTCATATCACTACATCATGCTGCATTTTACATGCATATACTAAAATAATGTCATTACTCAGATTCTTTATTAAACTGCAGTGGGAAAAAAAACCAAACCCTTTAGTGATAACTGGCATCACTAAAGCTTTAAATCTTCAGGCAACTTTACAGGAAATTTACCTTTCAGCTACATCTGAGTGCAGACATTGATATGATTAGATGCTAAGCATTCTGGTCTCCATTAAAGAAAGCACATGAGAAAGTAATTGTCTAATATTTCATTTCCTCAACTATGCATTTGATTTAAATAACATGTATGAGTCAGTACTTTTCTTGATTGATGCTAGAGCACTCACCTCCTTATACGGTCAAATTATTAGAGAATTCCAAAGATACATTTATTTTTAAATTATTTACTCCTGTATTTCTATCATTCTAAAGCAGTGATATATCTTTCTGGCTTGATTCCAGACGTGGCTTGCTCAAGAGGATTTGCCAGAGTGAAGGGTGTTACCTGTGAAGGTGAAGTTTTTGCTTCTTACTCAAGATGTCACTTCCTCTCCTTTGAAAATGAGATAAAGGGGATTTATTATGTTGTTGGTTTTGTCAGGCTTAATCATATTGACCTTAGATGAATGCCTTCACAAACAGTTACTGACTGTTGAGAGGTGTTACATTATGCTGGTTTTTGGAGAATATCGAAATGATAACAAAGATAATTGAACTCCTTCAAAATACATTTAATCCCTTCAGTTATTCCTTTCTCCCAGCCATATCCATCATCTTGTCTTAGAGAAGAGAATGTGGCATGGTAATGCCCTATGAGTTGAAGATCTTGCAAGAGTCCCTTGAGACTGACCCAGATGCTTGTTCAGAATAGTGTTCATAGAATCATAGAATGGTTTGGGTTGGAAGGGACCTCAAAGATCATCTAGTTCCAATCACCCTGCCGTGCGCAGGGACACCTAGACCAGGTTGCTAAAAGCCCCAGCCAGCCTGGCCTTGAACACTTCCAGGGAGGGGGCCTCCACAACTTCTTTGGGCAACCTGTTCCAGTGCCTCACCACCCTCACAGTGAAGAATTTCTTCCTTATATCTCATCTAAATCTACCCTCTTTCAGTTTAAAGGCATTACCCCTTGTCCTATCAAAACATGCCCTTGTAAACAGTCCCTCTCCAGCTTTCCTGTAGGCCCCTTTTAGAGTACTTTGGAAAGCTGCTATAAGGTCTCCTCAGAGTCTTCTCTTCTCCAGGCTGAACAACCCCAACTCTCTCAGCCTGTCCTCACAGGAGAGGTGCTCCATCCCTCTGATCATCTTTGTGGCCCTCCTCTGGACTCTCTCCAACAGCTCCATGTCTTTCTTATGTTGGGAGCCCCAGAGCTGGACAGAGTTTTCAGACCCTAATACAGTATGCATGAAAGCCTCTCACTTTCCTTCATGTAGGTTAAATTCTCAGTAAAGCTGTAGCTGTCTCCTTCGCGTTTGCATATAACTCAACTCTTTGTTTCCCCAACAGATGTAAATGAGTGTGATGTTTTCCCGGGAGTTTGTCCCAACGGGCAGTGCATTAACAGCAGAGGCTCATTTCACTGTGAGTGCCCTGAAGGACTGACACTGGACGGAACAGGGCGAGTTTGTTTAGGTAACACTCAAGTCAACTTTGCCAGCTTTTTAGCTGTGCCCAACTGTTGTCCAAAATTACTCTCAGAGGGGTGTGAAAGAATGTTTGGTTTGTTTCTGAATTTTTCTGAAAGCACTTTGTTAAGTGTATGTTTTAGTTTATGCCTGCTTAGATATCAAATGCCTGTGTCAGTTCAGGGAAGAGCTATTTCCCTTGGGGGAACATGAATGTTTGTTTTGCCCACAGTGCAATTGATAGGTTTTGCTAGAGTGCTGCCTTTAGTCTGACTCCCATTGATGAACAGAAATGTCTGACTCACTGGGAGCTGGATGATAAGGAGTCAGCTGGTCAGCCAGCAGCTTGTAATGCAGTGTGAATAGTACTTTTCTCTATTGCTATCTAGCCATTTTGTGAAACTCAGATACTACCACGCAGCACAAATATGCTGGTGCAAATTGGTCTGCCTGAGAGTAATCAAAATGAGTGTAGGTAAAAATAAGACTTCATCTTTGTTGTTCAAATTAATATCTTCTACTGACAAAACATGATGTCCATGAAGACATACATTTCTCTAGGAAATACTTTAGGTATAAAAAAATACTGAACGGCTGTGAAAGTTCAAGAAAACAGAAGTATCCTGTAGCAAGTGTAGTTAGTGTTATTAATCTGCATCTTTATAAATCAATGGTCAGAGATGAAAAAAGATAAAGTCAGGGTACTGGATGTTTACAATAGATTCTGGAATCCGTATTAATTTTTCTTCCCTTTTCTAAGGACTGTAAAAATATGATTACTGACAGCATTGATTTATTTTAAGAAAACAGTGCAGCAGAACAAAAAAAAAGTCAGCCCTTGCTTCACGTCAAGGATTTTCCTACTCTAACCTTTTTTTTGTGTATTTCAACAATGTTCTCTTTCCTCAAGCAGCTTCAGATTTAACCAAACGCTTTTGCTTTAATTGCACTATGCCTTCCCAACAGCTGATGCAAACAGTTACCAAGTTGAGGAGTGGTTTAATGTGAATATAATTCTAGAGGTGTTTTTTTAAAATAAGCAGAATTTTGAAATATATATACGATCAGTATAAAAGTCTCAGAAAAAAAGAAACAATTCAAACCCAAGTCTGCGCAGAATGCACATATCTGCTATGTTTGTGCATATCATATGCAGTTTTATGTGTTAGGTTTTACTTGATACTCCACACACTCCACCAAACGCACCCAAACTTAGTAATTCTGTTGCTAGTCACTGGCATCTCTGGCCATCAACCCTGTGTTATTTCTCAGTGAGAAATTTGATAAGGACAGGTGCGAATTTAATTGTGGTTAATAGATATAATGAAAAGTTGGAACAAAGGAGCCATCATCAAGCAAGACACAGGATTCTTTTACCCTCAAAACCATGACCCCTTTTCTTATTTTAATGAAAAAATTACCTTGTATTTTACAAGATATGTGTCTTCTCCTATGCTACACAAGCACTGTGTACTACGCCATGTATTTCTGAAATATATTTATTTCCTGAAGGATCCACTACAGTGATTTTAGTGCAAACAAATATTTATTAACAGTATGTTTGCTGAATCGCTGGAAATGAAAATAAATATGATCTCGGTGTGGAATAGTTTACAGGAAACTTCGAGTATTCTTTAAACAATTTCTATTTCTTATACTTGCTTCTAAATTGTTTAACTTCCGAAGTGCATAGGGTAAATTTACATTATAAATCTGCACAACTTTGAAGGGCTTGTGTGGGAAACAGTTCAGCAACTCATCTGTGTTACTTTTAGATCTTGCATCTTCTCCAAAGCTTTTTGCACTAAGCATTTAAAAGTTCTGTTAGGTTTGCTAAAGCCTAACTTCCAGTCCAATATATCATATGAAACCTTAATGCTTATATTTATCCTGAAAATACAGCTTGACCTCCATTCCGTTTCAGTCATGTCAGGCGGCTCTAAAATATGTCCAGAAGTTATTTTATCTGACATGGTGTGTCCTTGTGATCTTCCTTACAGACTGAAAATAACTCTCTTTTCCTGGAGAGCATTAAGCTACCAATGAATTTCTGTATAGTATCGCAGACATCTTTTCTAGCACTGTAATCGATACTGTCCATTTCCCATTATTGATATTATTTGTCAGATTTTTTGAATTTGGGCATAGAAATTCTCCTATGTTGTAGAAATTAGCATGTAGAGACTAAACAACCCATTTTTATATCAAATTTATATGTTAACAAATACTGATTTTTTTTCTAAAACTTTTAAACTATTTTTCTTTACTGAGATACCAGTAAGTGAAAAGTGTAGAATGTCCTGATGCTTTCAAATGGGTTATTATTGTTATTTTTTACTGTATGTGAGATATAGCAAAGGTGATTTTTTTCTGCATACAGACCAGTGCGTGGTACTTTTCCTAACATTGAGTATGCAAGTACAGATTTTGCCTGTACACTTGGTTGATCTATCTTTTGGTTGACCTACTTTTCTGCAAATAGGACCCTTGAGTATAATCATAATTAATTTTTCTGGAAACCATCTTGTTTTCTACTGCTAACTGGTGTTAAAGTAAGCCTAACAATGGTCATAATTTTTTTAAATTTATTCCTTGTATTATTAAATTAACTTAATAATATAAACATAGGTAGGAATACTATTTTTTTTTTGCTGTGAATGCAAGTCAATCTGTAAATGAGAATACCTGATACAGTAAAGAAATACATGTCTCTCTACTATCAAATACACATAGAAACCTAAAAAGGACAATCATGTCAGAGTAATGGTATATCCTGATATTGGGAGACAGCAAAAGAAATGCTTGTATTTTTATGTGGTACAACAGAGATCCAGAAACTTAACTATAGTGCAATATTAGCAACTTCAAATGGTTGAACAATGTGCAGAAATGTAGACTGTTGAGCAGATATCTGTCTCCCAGAAACTGATCCTCACATGCACTCATGCCTTAGAAATAGAAATAGAAAACCGGAAAACTTCACAAAGGGTAAAATACCTATTTGTTGTTGTAAAATGAGCAGATATCCGAATGGAGCAATGCTACCTGAAATGGGATGAAGATGAGTGCATTCAGTCTGTGCCTGGCAAGTTTCGTATGGATGCCTGCTGCTGTGCTGTAGGGGCTGCCTGGGGCTCCGACTGCGAGGAGTGTCCTAAACCTGGCACCAAGGAATATGAGGCTCTGTGCCCCAGAGGTCCGGGCTTTTCCAACAGGGGAGATATTCTAACTGGCAGGCCATTTTATAAAGGTAAGGGTTCATTCTTGGATCTAAAAATGAATTATAGGTACCTCTGGGTGAATATTCTAAGAAAAAGCCAGGATTTGTGTCTATATTTGTTAGGTACTTGAGATGAGAGATGTTATAAAGATGTTTGCCTGAAAGAGCTGACCTTACAGTTTGGAAACTCTCTGCTTGCATGGTGCTCAAGAGTGTTACAGGAGCCTAAAAGGAAGAGGTGCAAAGTTTGAAATTGGTAGCGAGAAAAAAGAAATTACTATGACAGTACTGAAGGGAGGGGAGCTCTAAATTATGAGAATAACAGAATATGTGCACCTATTTTAAGGCAGTGCTTTGCAAAGAGTGAACTGAAGGTCAGATGAAGTTCCATAAAATTGGGGAGTTAAGATGTAAATGTAAAATATTACTCAAATTTGGCCAGGGTTCTCTGGAAGAGAGACTGAAGAAGGATAGGTTCTTTCTATGATTTGCAGAATTAATAAGTGATTAAAAGGGAAGGGTGCCTGTGGCATTAAAATTACAAGGGCAATGATAATGGGGAGCTGCAGTGATAAAGAAGTAAATGAAAGCCTTTTGTCCAGTTTTTGCTAGCTTCACCTTCTGTAGAGCAAAAACAAAACTGAAGATGCTAGAAAGTGTTAAGAAATCACATCTGAAATATTATAGGTGACTGAGATCTGAGAAGAAAAACTGAATTTCTGTGTGCAGAAGCTGAGGTGATTCAGAAATGGTTTAGTATTGTATTTATTTTTAAAAGGTTGTATTCTGAAAGTTTTGTGCTGAAATATGTTGAGTTGCCTGAGAAAACTAACAGATTGGACCTCTGCTTCACCACAAATAAGCTCTGATTTTCAGGAGTTACTATTCTCAGGCAAAGCTCTGAACGTTCAGTGGTGATTTACTAAACAAATAAGGAATTTAATTCTTGGTCAGCTCCATGGGCTCAGACATGGAGTTCTGCCTTGATGATCATCAAGGAGTGCATCTCAAGTCGTGTCTCCAACAATGTCCCCTCCTGCTTGCCTCCTCCGCTTCATTTTTCCATTCTCCTAACCTGTGTAGGAGGAGGCCATCCCCCCAGTGCCTTGTAACCCAAACCCTGCCTTTTATGCCCAATACAATTGGTAAGAAGGAACAGGTGTAAGAATACTCTTTTCTTTTGTTTTTATTTCATAGATATCAATGAATGTAAAGTGTTCCCTGGTATGTGCCTGAATGGTAAATGCAGAAACACAATTGGAAGTTTCAAATGTAGGTGTAACAGCGGGTTTACTTTAGATATGGAGGAAAGAAACTGTACAGGTAAGTCTTGCATTTTCTCCAGTTTTTCCTAGAATCATAGAATAGTCCAGGTTGAAAGAGACTTCAAAAGATCATCTGCTCCAACCTTTTGTGGGAAAGGGATCCTAGATGAGATTACCTAGCACACTATCCATCTTGAAAACATCCAGTGATGAGAATTCTATCATGTCTCTTGGGCATTTTAAAGGAACTTGAACTTGTTACATAGTTTGGTGATCTGGCAACTTAATGTCATTCATTTCCTTCAGTTTCTAAGAGCTTAATCTGTGGACAGAATGGCCAACTGTCTTAAGTTTCCCTTTCAGAAAGTGATTCTTTAATAAATGTAACATTCCTCTTGTATAAGTACATTAGGAATTTTTTTAATTGGTGTTAAAAATGGTCAGGTCATGCTCTAGCAGTACAACCCCAAAAATCAAGAAGGATCACCAGCAAAGCCAAGTTCAATGTTTTAACATGCGTATTAACTTAATTTACATTCCTTACTCTCTGGTCATTGTATTACCAAATGAATTTAGAGACTACACTGCAAATTAATTTTCTTTTAGATGATGATAGCCATGCACACAAAGAGGCAGCTCTGTGATTCTGACATCAGTGCAATGTTAACTCAAGAAAAGGCATGCATTTAATTTAAAAGTTTAATATTTTGTTATTTATTGCCTGGAAAAACTGAAACAGAAGATAAGCTTAACAGTTTTCTGGTTATGAGGACGTGGATGCCTGCATTGTGGTTGGCTCAGTGCTGAGAATGAAGGAGGTTTTGTTATACCACACAGGCATCTATGAGTGAGTCTGAGTAATATGAAGTGTGGGTGGTAAGGCCTGTTAACTGAGGTTGGTCTGGATGATAATGTTGCCCTAACTGGTGATTTCCTTGTTTTTATAGTGATTGCATTGATGAGAAACGCATTTAACAAACTTTATTTCTAAACTAACAGGAATAGGTCAGAAAACTTCTCCCTACAAAAGCTTTTCTTTTTTTTTGTTCTGTTTTCCATTGAAAGTTTGTTCTGATAAAAATATTCCACTGAGCAGCTGTAGAGAGCCAGGTTTTATTGATCAGACGACTTTTTTTTTTTTAAATTACCAACCTGCAGGAGGCCAGATACTCTGTAACATCCCAGGCCCACCATGTAGGGGTGGGACAACAGCTCCACACGTCTGTGTGTGAGGACTGAAATATCTTCACCCAGCAAAAACCTGGCCATGGGGAGTGACACAGAGACAAAAGAGACTCTTGCATATGGTGAAAAAAACCCCTGTTTTAAATTTTTAGCCATTTCTTTAGTTAAGCTTATACTTGCGTAGTTTTCCTCAATCACTTAAACAAATGAGTCTACTGCCCAGCTCAACAACTTACTGCAAATATATTGATGCTCTTCTCTGATTCCTTGCTCCCTGGACTTCTTGGATGACATATCCAATCCTATACCCTCATCTGGACTAATGTTTTAATTGTTTCAAATATTACGTTATTTTTATTCCCTGTAAAGACTTAATGATTTCTTAATGTAAAAATTAATAACACAGTAGTGAATGAAGCTGAAGGTAGAGGGTATAGTGGAGAACATGAAACAAAGGGATTGAGCCCTAGTTCACCCCAAAAACACTGGATGGGCAGTAGAGTAAGGAAGAGAGAAGTCTGGAAAGGTGTGAGGAGATAGTAAATAACGGGCTATCCAGTTCTTCTTTCCAGTCCTTTCCTTCAGCACTGACCTATTTCAGTGGATCATATCCATATTACAAATTCCTCTTTAGCTTCCTGCCTCACTGCCAGTGTGTCTTACCAAAGAGCTCTTCCTTCTCTTCTCTTTTACCTTCTACAAACCTGCTATAGTTTTCCACAGTAAGTTTCATTCAAACTTAATTAATAAGATAACCAATTAACTGTAAATCTAGCTTGTAGAGGAGCTACTTAATTCCTAATGGAAAGGGTATATGTCAGCTTATAATGCTATTACTGGATAAATGTCTTCATAATAAGCAATTTAATATCAATGGCACTGTAGCCATGAGGTCAGTTGGTACCTCTGTAATAATAACAACAACTCAGAATTTGTTATAGTTAGTAATTTTCTTAGAATCTAACCTTAAATTATATTTAATGGAAGCCTACTTGTTACATAGTTTAATCTCTAGTTGAGACCTCTGAAGGCATTGCATTATGAATCTTTCACAAACTGTTTCACATAATCAGATATTCATTTAAATATTAAATTAATTTCATTTTTCTGTTTTGATTTATATACTATATGTGATTAATTAATTAATTTATAACAGCCATGTGTTCACTTCTGTGAAAAGCATGATAACCTTAAACTCTGTTTTATTTTTCTACCTCTTCATTACTATAAAATAGACATTGATGAGTGCCAGATCTCCCCAGACTTATGTGGAAGTGGTACTTGTGTCAACACTCCTGGAAGCTTTGAGTGTGAGTGCTTTGATGGTTATGAAAGTGGATTTATGATGATGAAGAACTGTATGGGTAAGTGTTGCCAGGATGACCTGGAGTCATTTACTGTACAAAGCCTGACTGTACTCTACTATACTAGCTCTGTTCCAGTGAACATTTTACATGTATAACTTTTGTGACACCTTGAACAAACGATTCAGATAACCGAACTATACATATAGCTTTGCTTGTTCTTTTTACTAATTACTTTTGCACATTTCTGTATAGATATTATAGAATTGCAGCAACTATTCATTCATGTAGTTTAAAAATGGCTAATGAGGTATCCAAACATTTGGTAAAGTTAGGAATAGAAGGCTGGAGTTTCAAAAGTAGTGGGATTCACTTTTTCATGAATCTTCTAGGACTCAAAAAATTCTGAGAGCATTTCCTGAAGGATTGCATCTCTTTGTCTAAAGTTGTAAGAATAGATTTGGAGACACCAAAAGTTACTAGCCACCTTAAAAAAATCTTGAGGTAGTGTTGTGGAGTATTTCGTGAGATACATCATGAAATATATAATGAAAATGTAAAGTCTGAGATTTTCATCTTGATGAGGCTTAATGGGTCCTCTTTCTTGCCCTTCTTGAAGATTGGATTGACATTTCCTCTCCTCCCACTCTAAAGATCCTTGGCTAATTTCCATGACCTTTCCAGGATGGTCAGGAGTGGCTCCAAAATGACATTGGCTGGCTCCCTGAGCACTCATGGGTCTTTTCCACATCCTTTGTCAGCAGTTTGCTTCCCCTGTTTCCCCTCATCTTTTTGCTGCTGCTGTTATACCCTTCACATCCCTTGTCAGGGTCAACTCCTGGTGGCTTTGGCTTTCCTAACCCCATTCCTACACACTCAGACAGTGCCTCTGTTTTTCTTTTGCATCACTTGTCCCTGCTTTTGCGTATTTTAAGCTTCTTTTTGTGTTTGAGTTTTGTCAGGAGCTTTTGTGCTCATAATTGAACTCAAATAAGTGTTCCTATGCCCCTGTGTGCCAGGAGGCCATGCAGGCTGCCTGTCACCTTTATTTGATTTCTTGCAGATTGAGATGCTTTCAGACTCCAAAACATGATATGCAAGTCAGCAAAAATACCATTGCCTGAATCACAGATGACTATAACAAAAGCTAAACTCTGGAAGCTGAATAGCCTTTCAGAGAGACAAAGTACAAGTGCAGAGAATCAGTACCATATGGTGGAAATATGTTATCTGTAAGATAGAGAAGCAAGATGTCAGAGAAATAAGCAGAGAGTGAGGAGATAAGAACGGAAGTTACTTCAGAGCCTTTCACAGGAACTAAGAAAGGGACTGCATAATGTTCAATGAAAACATTTTGGAGCTGCGAGAACTATCCAAGCAGGAGTATAGCAAAAGAGATGAATTCTATCGTCAGGCAGTTTCACCCTCATGGGAATAACCTGCAAAACCCAATGATATCTTGGCTAAATTCTCAGGCTAATGAAAGATAACACTAGTCTGTCAATCTGAGTGTCTAGTTTAAAGGATAGTTAGCCATAATGCTTCCTGGAAGTCCAAAAATGTGAACGCATCCTGCACATTGAACATCTTTTGATCATACTTCATCCACATCTACAGCGTTAGCTGTTTTTATCAGTTTTGTGAGTCAAACAGTCTGTCATTATAAGCTGTAGCAAGCATATTTCTCAGCCACACAATGACATACGCAGGAGTTATCAAACTGAATAGCCATTTAGTTAAAAGTTTACACACACATCTCCATTAACGGCATCCATAGACAACAATTTCAATGCATACATAAATGAGTGTCTCGTTGCATTAAGAAGCACTTTTTTGAAAATTTCATCACATTAATACGTTGTCCTAAATGGCAACCCTCCAAACAGTTGCTGTCTTTTGTTGTGTCCTGTGTCTCTAACAATACTTAATTTTGAATTATGAGTTTCTGGTTTTCTTGAGGGGAAAACTACCCATTTTTAGGGTTAATAAAGTCTAGTTTTTTGTTTGCTTTGTTACGCAGTATGAGGAAAAGAGCAGCACTGCTTCAACGAAACAATCGTTTTATTTCTGACCTCCAGATTTTGTCACTTACAGACACTGAGAATTGCTTTTCTCTTTGTGGCTCCTTAGTAATGATTTCCTATTTATTTATCATGGTTTCTTTGCAGATATTGATGAATGTGAACGCAACCCTCTGCTGTGTAGAGGTGGCACATGTGTGAACACCGAAGGAAGTTTTAGGTGTGACTGTCCTTTGGGACATGAGCTGTCACCATCACGTGAGGAATGCATAGGTGAGTTTCGACTCAGCATAGTCTTCTGCTTTCTAAGAAGAGTGGTCATGTGTGGTATGAAAACTTCTTGTCTTTGGCAAGGATGGAGTCTCAGAAATTTCTTACACAAATTCATGCTCCTCCTTTATATGAGTATCTTCAAATTAAAACCTTATAACAGATCCTGTAAAATCTGCAATGCCCTTAACACTGTTGACTTCAAAGAAGTATTTCACCAGGCCTCTTAGGGATTATTTAGCAACTCAAAAGACCGTACAACTCATGTTGGCAACTTTCAGTAAAATACATACAAGCACAAAGTGAACTTCGTGCCTACAGTCAGAAAAAAGAATTGTCCCTTATTGAAATGCACATGCTCCTTCCTGCACATAATTCACAAAAATGGTGAAAAAATGCAAAAACCATGATATTGTCTCTTTGGTTTCTGTGTTTGATGCATAGCTGCTTCAAGAGTTTGTTTAAACCAGCAGACCATGCAGTTAATGCTCACAGACCAGAAACAAAGATAAAACTTTGAACACAGGCTTAAACATACCGTTCAGTGCTCAATACCTTGAACTGGAACATGTTAAAAACGAGAAATTGAAAGTCATCAGTTTAAAACATTTAAACATTGCCTCTTACCCTCTTTCTCTGGCATTTGAGCAGTTAGAGGCTGCATTCTGAATAACAAGTAATTGATATGGGTGATTCTTTTCCAGATGTAAATGAGTGCTTGTTAAGTGACAATCTCTGCAGAAATGGCAAGTGTGTGAACATGGTCGGAACATACCAATGTTCCTGTAACTCTGGGTACCAGGCCACTCCTGACAGACAAGGTTGCATAGGCAAGTGTTGTACACCTTCACCTATGTATTTGTGCTTCAGCGTATATTTTTTCATCTGTCTTTGTTTTCATTTAATTTCATACCTTCCTTTTGAAACTGAGCAGGGCCACCTTCTCATCTGCTATTAGGCATATCATGAACTATCATGGACCCTTCTTTTAACTTAGAAATATAAAGAAGGTATAAAAAGGTTGTTGCTGTACTGAACACTGCAGAATACTTTGAGAAAAAATATTCTTGTGGTACTTCTCCAGTAAAATGAGAGGCTTGAGCTAACAAACAGAAAATACTGCTTGATTTCTTGATCAAGCAAGAACAGCCCCATGCATTGATAGTTTCTCTTTCACTTTTTCTCCTCATTGTATACATCTCTTAAATCCTTTGCTATAGTAATACTGAATTATGTAGTTGTCATCACATTGGTAAGGAGAACAGAGGTATTGAGAGTTTTTTTATCTGTTGCACTGTTGGGTTTTTTATTTGCAAAAATATAAATTTGTGCTACATTTCAAGTTTTAGTGAAACCTAAGTTTCTCAGGACTTTTCCTTCTTTCCTTTCCACATGTTGTCTTTTGTACTATTTTTTTTACATCCCTAGTCAGACATTTGAACAAAAGCAACAACTGAAAGTAGCCACTTGCTCGCACATATGAAAATAGTTGAGAGAAAGCTGAACAAAACATGAATCAGAGACAGTAGAGTGAAAATAAAAATTCAGCATCATATCACTGATAAACTGTTTTATCTCCTAAGTAAAATGGCAAGAGATCACTTTTCCGTATAAAAGTAGACTTACTACTACTAACGTTGCTTCCCCAGATATTGATGAATGTATGATAATGAATGGAGGCTGTGACACCCACTGCACTAACTCAGAAGGCAGCTATGAATGTAGCTGCAGTGACGGCTATGCTCTAATGCCAGATGTCAGGACATGTGCAGGTAGGTTTTAGTATCTTAGAAGTTCCAGCATCGTATCTTTCAGCCAATATGAACATGGTATTCTTTTAGCCAATCTGTTCCAGAATGACAGAATTATTATCTGCTTCCCCCCTACCCAGATATTGATGAATGTGAAAACAATCCAGATATCTGTGATGGTGGGCAATGTACTAATATTCCAGGAGAATATCGCTGTCTGTGTTATGATGGATTTATGGCTTCTATGGACATGAAAACTTGTATTGGTAAGAAGCTGTATGCACCAAATTTAATGTAAGTCTAAAAATTCTGCAGCTAATGTTTTAGGATGTTCTCCTGAATCCTTGAAAGTGGGTATTGAAACTATATATATTATATAAAAAAATAATCTGTAGATCTTTCTTGCCTATCACTATAGATGTCAGAAAGGGTAGAAAAAAAAAATTCGAAAAGTCCATAAAGATTAATCAAATCATATAGTTCCAAAAATAGGAGTAATTTAATTATAATGGTATGATTCCCCTAAAACATCTCTATTGAGAAGAGCTTATTTGAATGCCCCAGCTTTTTCTTCTATCCCTTGTAAATGTTTTAGTTTATTCCCTCAACTACAGAAAGTTATCATAAGTAATTATAAAAGAAATTAAAATAAAATTATCTCCTCAAATTAACCTGTTTTGTTTATCTTGGTGTTTATATGAAGTTCTTTTACATTTAATATAAAGTTTCATATGTTTCATATTTTAAGGTGATTTTGCTATACTAATAGCATCTTTTTATATGTTGTGAGCATCTGTCAAATAAACCTTCACTTTGCACGTGTGCACACTCATACAGAAACACACACTGAGGAGAAACTACTTATATGCAATGCTGAGCAAAGCCATCCTGAGCTGGTTTTGTCTCCTTCCTTCCATAGTTAGAGTTGAATTTAAGATTTTCTTTTCACCTTCACTTCTATGTTATTCCAGGTTCTTGTTTTCAGCTTTGTGCATGTACTCCACATTTACACAAACAACTTGAAAGTTTAGAACTTATCTTTTCAATATTTTTTTCATGTCAGCCATGTTAGTAGCTGTAAAATCAGAATACTTTTTTTATTTTATACACAACTGCTCTTAAATGTTCTCTAGGAAAACAGTATATGATATTAAGGTTACAAACCTACAGTAAGAAAGTGTGAATTTCTGCCCTGTATGTAATTGCTTTCCTTGCTAACAGCATCATCCACTTTGTCAAAAAGCCTTTGGGGTAACTACAGTTTCTTAATGGACCTAACACTGCTTTCAACAAAGTACTTGGTGTTTTTTTTCAGCAGAAATATTTGCAATATCTTGTATTTATTTGACAGTATGTGAAATTAGATCATTGACATATAACTAGTGTAAAATTGCAGCTATTTGAATAAAGTCAAAAAGTTGACATAGGTGTAACTCATAAGACTATGCTTTAGCTACGAGTTTTTAAACAGATCTTTATTATAAACTACTTAGCTTTCAAATGAGGTTAATTCTGGAATAATGTTAAAGCCTTGTATTATAGTTGAAAGCCTATATTGAAGATTTAGCATAAGAATCTAAAACACAGTTCAGGTACAAAATACCTTATTCTTCTTATTCTTTCCTAGTGGAAAGTTTTCATCATATATGCAATGCTCAGTGAAACTGGGAAGATATCAGTAGCAAACTTAGATCTCTTGAACTTCAGATTGCATCAAGGCAGCAAGTGCTGAGCAGGCGTATTGTTGAGGTGTCTGGGAGAGGAGTCTGGCACAAGAGCACATCTACAGTCCTGATGCCTTGTTTTTCCTTGTGACTATTATGGTTGTGGGAAAACTTTGCTGGTTGTGGCTTATCACTCGTTCTTTCTGCAAGGGTCTTTCCCCACTCCACCTGCAGCGTGACTTCTCCTTGAATGTTACCTTTGCAGTGGCTTTGTTTCTTTGTACGTGCCAGAGATAGCTCTAGCTTTTGGAAGCATTTCTTCTCAAGCTCTTAACGTCTCTGCTCTTTACCTGCTCCCAAATTGGTTTTCACCAACAGCATTAGGACAAAGGTTATTGACCTGTTCTTTCATTCCTATTTAACCTCAGCTTTGAGAGACATTTTGATTTTTCTTCCTCTCTTGAAATGTCTTGAAGTTTTTCAGCCTCTTTCACAATCAGAGGGATTTTGTTTCTTGCCAGCAAGGAATTTGCCCCACCAGACACAAATACACTTGGGGTCATTAATAATGTTTTTTTCTTGGATATCCATTATCTAATGGCACAGCAGAGTGGTAAATATAGGTCTATACTAAAAAGTTGGCAGTGATCTATAAGCATTCTCTGAAACCTAAATGGAAGGCTATGTCAGAGCTACTCATAGCCATGAGCTCCTAAGAGAAGGAGTTTGACGTTTCCTTGTGGTGTTAAGAATTCCCTATTTGATATGCATCACAGTTCAAGCTTTTCCAGTGAGGTTTTGAAAGAAGCAGGCCAATTCTTATGTTCCAAGGGTGTGTCAGCAAGCAGAACTACAGAGATAAGTCTGTAGCTCTTGCAAATGAGGATACTTAGAGCATGGCAGCTTTCCTTTGCCTCATGGTGTGACAACTGAATATACTAGGGAAATAAAGGTTGCTGTAATTAGAGTATTTAGAAGACTGACGAAATCAGCCCTGTTTTAAAATACAAACCTACATTTGACTAAATTCATTTAATAGCACATTTACCATTGGTCGGTTCTTACACAATATTGATCATTGTCACTGCACATACAAAACTGTTGGTTTTTAACAATCACATTCTAAATTATATGCAAGTATACAATACCACAGAGCTGTTATGTGTTGTTTGCATTGACTGGCTTCCAGCCCTTGGTGTTGCTTAGTCACAAAGGTCAAGGTGATTGGGCTTGAGCACTTGTCTAGAAGAAAAGCTGGAACTGAAGTGGATCTGTCTTCTTTCTTCTCCAGTTTTCCATGCTTATGTTTTTATGCTATTGCCCCCCTCACAAAAAAAAAGGGGGTGTCTTCTACTCCTTGTAGGGCTTATCTTGTTTTCTTGTCTTGCCAGTCATTCTTCTGGTGTACCTTGGAGGTTTTGCTGCCTATATGCAGTCCCTTGTGCCTATATTGTCCTTTGGCAACTTCTATGACTTTGATGAGTCCTACATGCAGCTACACCCATCTTTCTCTGTCCTTTTGGTGGTCTCCTTGCTTACATCCTTATGCAAAACTATGTCTGGCTACCCCATCGCAGTATTACACAATACTTAAATGCTAGTGCTAGTTGTTACACTGTTTTAGCATGCTTATATTCGAGTTTAAAGCAAGCTAACATTAATTATATCCCTGTTAATAGACTTTTAATTTGTATGTGATGTGGGTCTCTGCTTTGGCTGCTTTACATGACATCTTACTTCACTCAAAGGGACAACTACAAATAGCAGAAATGCCTTTTCATCCACGGTACACTGACTGCCTTTAATGTCATAGTATAATACTGTTAGCTAATATCATTTCAAGGGATAAATGGAAATATTGGACAAGGTATTTGAAAAGCTCTTGAGCTATGTGGCCCCACTGCAGTATGACTTAGAATACTCATATGTAATTCCTAAGTTACCTGCTGGACAGGTGCCCAATTCTAGTTTGTTCTTACACCAGTTTGTTTCATAAGATTTGTTGTCTTTTCTAAGTTGGAGTTTTATTAAAAAAAAAGATTGAGTTTACTTTATTATTTTTTATGATTTTGACAAATGCTGTTCAGAGGTATCGACACACCTGTATATGTCATTATTCAGTTTTAAATAACAATCAAAATATCCAAATTGAAACCTATAGATAATACCAGTTCAGGAAAAGTTATCAATTTACTTTATAAATTCTTCTTTGAAAATTACAGCTATATTATGATCAAGAATGTGCTTTTTAAAAAAATCTTTAAAATTATTCCTGTAAGAAGTAATTGACTTCATAGTCCAGTAATTAGCATTCTAAGCAAATTAGAAAACACTGAGGTATTTTGACTACACATTCATCCTTACTTGTTTTTAGGGAATTAAAGGAATACAGAATGGAACAGCTGAAATATATTATGATGAAGATTAATAAATGCCACATGTTGTGGGGGTGGACCAGGCTTCTGATATTTTCACCTGAATTAACGTATTCCAAAAAGACAAAGAATGCTGTTAAATGACAGCAATGTTCAACTAATAATGAATTTATGTGCACTTACAGATGTGAATGAATGTGATTTAAATTCCAACATCTGTATGTTTGGGGAGTGTGAAAACACTAAAGGGTCCTTCATTTGTCACTGTCAGCTAGGATATTCAGTCAAGAAAGGAACCACTGGATGCACAGGTAATGTAAATTTCCAACATGTATGTCATGATGTGCACATATGTTGATTGGCTTTCAGGTAAAATATATTCACAAGTGTTCATACACAAGTAAGAGATTGGTATCTGTACATAATAGTAAATATAAAAGTATTTTACATTTGTCAGCATATGTCCAGAGTTTGAAAAGGTATGTTCCTTGACAAAGTATCAATATGATACGAGAGGCCCCTTACATAACCGTAATTTTAAAGGCAAAATTTTTATCAGTGTAGATTGGGAGAATGTCTGTGATATGAAACATAGCTTGGGTGGGCACAGCTGCATTTGTATTAGAAATATTTTAGCAGTACACATTTGTCATATATACTTTAAGTATGAACTCATCTGTCAACTAAAGCTGCAGGAAATGACCCTGTAGTCTAAGAATAGGACAAAAGGGAAAAATAACTATGAAAAAAGTGATATGTAAAAAGGAAAGTATATGCCATCCTTCAACCCATGGTAACAAATTTTAAAGAATCAGTTAGTCAGTTTCAAATTCCATGAGTTCCTGTGGTACTTAAGCAATACCTTGTGTTGTGCAAGCTGGATCTACTGTGTTCAGGAAGCTAAGTTAATCCAAAATTATTATTCTGGGAAAGTTGACAGAATTTCTCCTATAATGTGATCTTTAAGAATTTGTTTTGTAATTACTAAAATCTTGGACTAATCATTTTTATAACTGAAACATGCCTGTGTGCGCAAAGGTCTTATGCCCTTTTTAGATATAGAAAGATCAGCATATTTAATATGTCTAGAAAAAAGCTTTAATTTCAAACTGAAAAGCAGTTGTAGGAGAGCAGATGAATTTTGTCATGTTCACAAACAAAGAATAAAATGAAAAGGCAATTGTCAGTATTTTATATTAATGTATAATACAAAGTAACTTGCTTGAATTATTCTGTAGTCTTGAACATTTTTTAAAGGACTGTGAACACTAACAGTGGAAGTAAGCAACATGTGAAAGGAACATAATTTGTAATATTTCAGTGCTCTTGATGTACATACTAATAGTTTATTTTGTGCTTGTAGATGTGGATGAGTGTGAAATTGGTGCTCACAACTGTGACATGCATGCCTCATGTGTCAATGTACCAGGAAGTTTTAAATGTAGTTGCAGAGAAGGATGGGTTGGAAATGGCATTAAATGTATTGGTAAGTATACAGAATATAAAGCGTTTTTTTCTCCTTTTTCTTTTTTCTTTTTTTCTTTCTTTTTTTTTTTTTTTTAAATGAAAGCATGTGATATGGCTCCATTAGAAACAAAATATTAATCTTCTATCTGTGGCACTCTGTGGATAGATAGGTATGCAAGATTCTTATGTTTCAGGGGTTTGGTTTTCTTTTTCCTTTTTTCCTTTTTCCTTTTTCCTTTTCCCTTTTCCCTTTTTCCTCTTTGTCTCTTTCTCTCTTTCTCTAAATAAAAAACCTTGCATTAACTTTCATGAGGTTACATTCTTGTCACATTCTTCTATTACTTGAGAAGACTCTCCAAATGTATGGCAGATTTTCACCTCAGTGTATTTCTTTGGTTTGTTGGGTTTTCAACTCATTTTGAATTCAAGTTCTTTAATAGCATATTAACATTCGATTAACGAGTGAGCTGAATTCCATCTGTTGCTTGGAAACATTTTGACCCAATACCATGCATTTTAATTTAAAGGAAGAAATATTAAAATGAAATCACTATAGATTAACCCTGTATGTTCTAATGAGAACTTCGTATATTCATGGAGACATAAATCATCTTTGCAGTTGCACTTGTTAGCTTGACAGTTACTTGTAAGCCAAGTGTACTAACTGCTCTGTACTGCTTGCGCTCTTGTCCCTAATGTGCAGATCTTGATGAGTGCTCCAATGGGACCCACCAGTGCAGTGTGAATGCTCAGTGTGTGAACATCCCTGGGTCATACCGCTGTGCCTGTGCAGAAGGATTCACTGGGGATGGGTTTACTTGTTCTGGTAAGAAGTTTCTGTGAAAGCTGACTTGTCACTGATTGTTTCTGTTGTAGAGAAGCTTTGCAAATTAGACCTAAGCCCAAAGTGCAAGATAATATATGTAAAATTGTCTTTTAAGATCAGGATTCTTCCCATCTGCTGAAAAAATGCTAACAAAGACAATTGGTTGTTCTTCTGATTCGTGTGCCAAATTTTTGGGTGAAGTTCCTGTCTGCTGCTTTATCCTCCTCCTCCTCTTCGTCATGCCAATTTTTTTGAATGTGCATGTGCTGCTTGCAGCAGCAGGGTCTCCAGTCAAGAACACAAAACACCTGTTGTCTGTTCTGGTTCATGTCTTGTAGACCTGTAGGTCTGTATCGGGTAGGGAAGCCATCATCTGTTTTCCCCTCACTGTATTAGTTGAACAGGATTTAATCACTAACACAGGACTTTTTAAAAAGAAAAACAAGTTACAGTTGAAAAATATTGCCTATGATTTCTGTATTTAAATTTGTTGGTGAATGCTCACTATTAAGAATGAGCATTGTTTAGCACACAGCAAGTAAAATAAACTGACATGTAAAGGATTATATAAAGTGTAAAGATTTTATATTAAACATTACAACACCAACTTGGGTGGGAGTGTTGATCTGCTTAAGGGTAGGAAGGCTTTACAGAGAGGACCCCCCACTAAGGGCCCCTCACTAAGGGGGGCCCTTACAGTTTTAGATCCCTCACTACAAGAAGGACATTGAGGTGCTAGAGGGTGTCCAAAGAATAGCAAGAAAGCTGGTGAAGGGTCTAGAGAATAAGTCCTATGAGGAGCAGCTGAGCGAACTGGGTTGTTTAGTCTGGAGAAAAGGAGGCCGAGGAGAAACCTTATCACTCTCTACAACTACCTGTAAGGAGGTTGTAGTGAGGTGCATGTTGGTCTTTTGTCCCAAGTAACAAGAGATAGGACAAGGGAAAATGGCCTCAAGTTGCATCAAGGGAAATTTAGATTGGATATGAGGAAAAATGTCTTCATTGAAAGTGTTGTCAAGCACTGGAACAGGCTGCCCAGGGACGTGGTTGAGTCACCATCCCTGGAGGTATTTCAAAAGATGTGTAGATGTGGAGCTTAGGGACATGGTTTAGTGGTGGGCTTGGAAGTGCCAGGTTAAGGTTGGACTTGATGATCTTAAGGGCCTTTTCCAACCTAGATGATTCTATGTGGTTTTTATCACTTACAGAGTGCAGATGCAACAATATCTCTTCTCTTGACTTCTAATGCCCTGTATGTGGTCAGCAAATTTGAAGGTTTGAAGGAATGCATCCTAATGATAGTAAAATACCTCAAAACTAATGTGAATGCATTCATTATTAGCTAACTGGCTAATTTAAAATCAAAATTAATTTACACCTTAGCAAGACAGTCTTCTGATTAGTATTATTTCTTATGATTTCTTCTCAAGTTTGTGGTTAATGAACAAGAACTTTCATCACTATTATTAACATGCTATGTTTCAGATCTTCTGTTTTTAAAAAATCAGATGGGATACTAAGGATTGACTAATGAAGAAAGTATATTGAAAAATTTTTTGGACAATCATGAGCATATCTGACAAAATTATGAGTCCTTATGATGACTGCAATGGTGAATGCCTTCCTTTGTCATTCTGCTCTTTTACAGCTCTTAAAAAAAAAAAAAATCACTTCTGGGGCATACTAGAAGAATTCCCACTAGTGTGCAAATGGTAATTGTAATGGTCATAATCCTCAAAGAATATTTTCTAAAATGCCTATGAAAATAATTTTCTGTGTATGATTCACTTAAGAAAATTTGCCTTTGAATGGGTTTTATATCAAAGTAACATAGCAGTATATATCAGAAGATAATGTTTTACTTTGTAAGCAAAGTATTCAACTTATTTGTCAAAGCTAATGGTAAAGAACCTGAAAACCTTGCATTATTAAAAAAAAAAAAAATCTGTTAATGAAAAACAAAGAGTAAGAAATCATGGCAGAATAAAAGGAAAATTTTGGAAATGGCATTATGTTTGGTTTTCTGTATTCTTTCAATTTACTTCATCTTGAGGTGTAAATGTTTTGTTTTATATCAACCATACTCAACAGCACTATTATTTTGAGCATCAGGATAATATTACTTGTATTTTGCTAGTGAAACGTAGTTTCAGATGAATTTTCTGTCTCTCACAGATGTTGATGAGTGTGCAGAAAATATTAATCTATGTGAAAATGGACAGTGTTTGAACATCCCTGGTGCCTACCGTTGTGAATGTGAGATGGGATTCACTCCTGCCTCGAACAGCAAGTTGTGCCAAGGTAAGCCACTGGTACTTCAAGCTCATTTTCTGAGTTTGGATTGGCTGCTGTAAAGGAAACAAGAAGTAGTGCTGGAAGGACCTCAACCTGGAAGCAACATATTCAGTACGAGCTTCACATATAAGTAATTTCTTCAAGCAAGGATTATTTTTCAGTGTGAAATATGTTGAAGTTAGCTTTCATCTTTTTATGAAGCATTCCTGGCCTTGGTCCAAAAATCCCAGAGTACAGGTTTGCTAACTAATTTTGGTTTTTTTAATTATTTCTCTTGTTGTTGTCACTAGTGAATAGTGTGTGGAAAATCCTGTGTTCACCACTGTTTTCCTTAGTGTGTTTACATAGAAGACACAAACTGCATTAAGTGACCTCATTTTAAAATAAAAGTTTTCAGGAAAATTGAAGTAGGCAAATCACTGCTACATTTGACAAGTCTTTATCACTCCTTAAAATGCATATTGGAGATTTTTTATCATCACCCTTTCACTCTCAATATTGTACCAGATCATCTGAATTGCAAAAGGAATTAGTATCTTTCTGGTCCAATTAGCTTCTATTCCCTGTTTTGTTCTTATGTCTTTTTGTTTGTTTGTTTAATCTAAGAGAACTGTATATTAGAGACACGCTTTTTAGCTGGTGCTCCAAAGCTTTTTAATTTATTTCATATTTAATGGTAGAAATCTCATAACATCTTAGGAAATCAAAATTCTTGATGAGACATTAAAACCAGATTCCAAAATCTAGTCTCTAAAATTCAGTCCATATCTTGACATGTTCAAACATACAGGTGTACATGTATGAATCAGACTTCTAGTTGTAGAAAAATTACAGATGCTTCTGAAAAATTAGATACGCAGTTGTTTTGGTCAGATCTGTTAGTATTTACCAAGTATTGTTAATCATCTTTAACTGAATTTCTCAGTGCAGCTCAGTTAGTTAGTCATATTAGTCATGCCAATGTTCTAATAAAAATCCCCAAACAGACATCAGCCAATCAATGTTTCGAAAAACAATATGATTCTAATTTTTGGGACAGCGGGTCACCAACATTTGGCTTTTCAATTGGTCCACAATGATGCTCTGAAAAATAAATTGAAGAATTTTGGAAAAATGCTTGGTATATTGCTGTGATCCCAACAGAGATTCCATAGATTAAATTGTGCTATTGGAGAACTAAATGGTCTGGGTGGTGAATACTTAAAAGAAGCTGTCTTCTTTCTTTTTTTTTTTTTTAAGTTGATATATTCATTTGTCCTATGATAAGGTGACTCCTTGGCTGATTTCTGCAATCAAGAGACAAAATCTATAGCCTGGATGTAGTACAATAATTGTAATACAAGTAATTAATCCAATTTCTTCAAAAATCCCTTGAGATGTCAGTACATTAGTTTCTCAATGATACAGTCTTTTCCATAACTTTATAAAGCTTCATCTCAACACAAGTTACTTTCATGACCTGATTTGGAGGTTATTCCGTGGCTGTACTCCAAGGTACCTAGAAACCTTCCTTTATGTCCTGGTTCTGGTAAGGATAGAGTTAATTTCACAAGGAGCCAGGACAGGTGACCCAAGCTGGCCGGGGGCTATTCCATACCATGTGACATCATGCTCACCATAAAAGGGGGACTAGTCAGGTAGGGGAGGGGTGGCGCAGTTTCGGTGAGGTTCCAGGACAGGCTGAGTGGTAGGTCGGTCGTTGGTTTGGTAAATTGTT